AATTCTTTCAGGATTCATTGAATTCTTTCAGGATTTATTTAATTCTTTCATGATTTATTGAATTCTTTCAGGATTTATTGAATTCTTTCATGATTTACCAAAGTCCTTTCATGATTTATTGAATTCTTTCAGGATCTATTCAATTCTTTCAGGATTCATTGGATTCTTTCAGGATCTATTCAATCCTTTCAGGATCTATTGAGTTCTTTCAGGATGCACCGAAGTCCTTGCAGCATTCCTCCCTCTGCTGCTCTCCCTGCTCCCTTCCCGTGTCCCGCGCTCATCCGGCCGTTCCCTCCCTGCCTCTCCTGTGCACCTCGTCATTGCAGCCCTCCCTGTTCCGGGCGATCTCGATGGCCAGGAACTGGATCCTGGTGGCTGCAAAAAGCGGGACAGGGATCAGCTGCGGCTGCGGGGTCCCCCCCGGCCCCCCGCCCCCCAAAACCACCGAAAATGGTGTTTTCCTCCGAGTACTCCCCGCGGCAGTCCAGGCGCAGCAGCGTGCCGAAGTTGAAATCCTCCACCACGCCCTCGAAGGCCAGGCAGAACGGGCGCCACTTCTGGGGGGACAAAAAACACCCTCAGCGCCCCAAAATCCCAATAAAACCGCCCCAAATCTCACACACGGCCTCGGCCCCCATGGTTGAAATCCTTCACCGTGCCCTCCAAGCTGAGGCAGAACGGGTGCCACTTCTGGGGGGACAAAAAGACCCTCAGTGCCCCAAAATCCCAATAAAAGGGGGAAATCCCACTAAAAAGGGGGAAAATCCCACTAAAAAGGGAGGAAACCCCACTAAAAAGGGGGAAATCCCACTAAAAAGGGAGGAAACACCACTAAAAAAGGGGGAAATCCCACTAAAAAGGGGGAAAATCCCACTAAAAAGGGAGGAAACCCCACTAAAAAGGAGGGAAACCCCACTAAAAAGGGGGAAATCCCACTAAAAAGGGAGGAAACCCCACTAAAAAGGGAGGAAATCCCACTAAAAAGGGGGGAAATCCCACTAAAAAGGGGGGAAATCCCACTAAAAAGGGAGGAAACCCCACTAAAAAGGGGGAAATCCCACTAAAAAGGGAGGAAACACCACTAAAAAAGGGGGAAATCCCACTAAAAAGGGAGGAAACCCCACTAAAAAGGGGGAAATCCCACTATAAAGGGGGAAATCCCACTAAAAAGGGGGGAAATCCCACTAAAAAGGGGGGAAATCCCACTAAAAAGGGGGGAAATCCCACTAAAAAGGGGGGAAACCCCACACACCACCTTGACCCCTTACTGAAACCGTTCACCATCCCCTCAAAGCAGAGGCAGCATTTCTGGGGGGATAAAAAGACCCTCAGCACCCCAAAATCCCACTAAAGGGGAAATCCCACTAAAAAGGGAGGAAATCCCACTAAAACTCCCCAAACCCCACCCAAGCCTTGGCCCCAAAGTTGAAATCCTCCAGCACGCCCTCGAAGGCCAGGCAGAACGGGCGCCACTTCTGGGGGGTTAAAAACACCCTCAGCGCCCCAAAATCCCAATAAAAGGGGGAAATCCCACTAAAAAGGGGGGAAATCCCAATAAACACCCCCCCAAACCCCACACACAGCCTTGGCCCCGTAGTTGAAATCCTTCACCATCCCCTCAAAGCATTTCTGGGGGGATAAAAACACCCTCAGCACCCCAAAATCCCAATAAAACCCCAAACACAGCCTTGGGGGGAAACCCCAACCCCACTAAAAGCGGGGGGAAACCCCACTGAACCCCCCAAACGCCCCCCACCGCCTTGGCCGCCTCGGATTTGAGCTCCTCGGGGTCCAGCACGTCGACGCGCAGGTCCCGGAAGGCGCCGCGGAACTCCGCGTAGATCCGCTCGTCCACCTTGGTGAGCTTCAGGAATTTGGGCTCCACGGAGGAGATCAGCTGCAGGGGGGGGCGGGGGGGCTGAGCGTCAGCCGGGACACCCCAAAACCCCAAAAACCCCAGCCCAAAACCCGCGGAGCCCCCAGACTCACGTTGAAGTAGACCTGGGCGTGCTGATGCGCCTTCATGGCCCAGGCCAGCTCCACGCGGGGCTGGGCAGCAGCAGGGACAGCTGGGTCACCTCCTGGGGACAAATGTCCCCCCGGGGGGGTCCCCCACCCCATTTCGGGGACCCCCCCCTCCCCCTTTTGGGGGTTTTCTTGCCGCTTTTATGGGGTTTTTCCTGCCCTTGGGGTTCCTCTCTTCCTGTTCTGGGGGTTTGCTTCTTTTTGGGGTTCCCCTCCTCCCAGGGGACAAGGTTGGGACCCCTCTGTCGGGATTGAGACCCCCCCAAAACCTGGATCCCCTCCCAGCACTGGGACCCTCCTGGATTGGGGGAACCTCCCAAAATTGGGACACCCCAAAACCTGGATCCCCTCCCAGCACTGTGTCCCCCCCCCAGGACAGGGACCCCAAAAGTTGGAACCCCCAAATCTGGAACCTCCTTGCCAGGACAGGGACCTTCCTCTGTGGACAGGGACCCCCAAATCTGGGACCCCCCAAAAGCTGGATCCCCTCCCAGGAATGGGACTCTCCTGGATTGGGGGAACCCCCCAGAACTGGGACCCCATAGGACTGGGATCCCCCAAAGCTGGGACCCCTCAGCTCTGTGACCCCCCCAGGACCCCGAAGTTGGAACTCCCAAATCTGAGACCCCTCTGCGAGGACAGGGACCCCAGGGCAGGGACCCCCAGATCTGTGACTCCCCTCTCAGCAAGGCCCCCCAGTGCTCCCAGTAGACGGGACACGTGGGGCGGGGGGACACGGGGTGACGTGGGGGGGATATCGAGGGACACAGGACAACACGGGGGGCGCAGGACACGAGGGGACATGCAGGACGAGGGGACAGAGGGACAGGGGGCCACGGGGTGACATGGAGGGGCACAGGACAACACGTAGGGTGGGGGACACACGGGGACATGGAGGGGACACGCGGGGCATAGGGACACGAGGTGACATCGAGGGACACGGGACAGCACGGGGGGACACGGGTGACGTGACGGGTCACAGGAGAACACGGGGTGACAGGGAGGGGACACAGGTGACATCGAAGGGCACGGGGTGGCAGGGAGGGGACACAGGTGACGTCGAGGAACACCCAGGGCACGGGGACACCCGGGGACACTCAGGGTGGGGCCACCAGCAGGGATGTCACCACACGGTGACCTGTCACAGCGTGCGGGCTGCTGGGGCTCCCTCGCTCATTAGCACCCCCAGCTGAAGGGGGTAATTAACTAATTAACAGCGCGGCTGCCGCCTAATTGCTCCGGGGGGGGGTGGGCGGGGTCTCTGCGACCCCATAAGTGCCGCGGGGGGGCGGCCCCGCTGTTTGTGGGGTTCCCCTGGCGCTGAGAACTGCGGTGCTGCTTTGGGTGAGTGTTTTGGGCCATTTCGGGGAGAAATTTTGGGGTCCCGAAATTTTGGGGTCCTACAGCTCTGCGTGTCCCCCCCAGGCCCTGTCTCCCCCCCCAGCCATGTCCTTCACCGACAGCACCGACAGCGGCTCCGACAGACCCGTGTCCGTCCTTTGGGGTGAGTGCCACCCCCGCCCCACCCCGGGGTGTCCCCCCTGTCGGGGACCCCCCCGAGGCGTGGCTCTGTCCCCTCCTGAGCCCTCCTGTCCCCGCAGGGTGCGAGCTGAGCAGCGCCAGGAGCTCCTGCACCTTCCGAGTGACCGAGGACTGGCACTGCGAGCAGCAGCTGGTGCTGCGCACGGTGCGTCACCCCAAAAAATACCCCCCCCCCCAAAAAAAAAACAACCCTAAGACCCAAAAAATACCTCCCCCAAAACCCTAAAAAATGCCCCCCAAAAAAACCCCGAAAACCCCTAAAAAATACCTTCCAAAAAAAAAACGCTAAAGCCCTCCACAAAACCCTAAAAAATACCCCAAAAATACCCCAAAATCCCAAAAAATACTTCCCTAAAAAAAAAAAACAAACCCTAAATCTAAAAGAATACCACCCAAAAAATACCCCCCAAAAAACCCCTAAAATACCCCCGTAAAAAAAAACCTAAAACCCCCCAAAAATACCTCAAAAAACCCAAAAACCCGGGGGTGTTGCGAGGCGGTTAAGGGGGGTTTGTTCTTCCCACTGCCTGGGATTAATTCCTGGATTAATTAATTAATTAATCGGGATGTCGGAGAGGTGGTGGCGGGCAGGGAGGAGGTGATTGCGTCCCTCAGCCCCCCAAATTCCTGGGGCATCCCCGTTTTTTGGGGGATGAATCCCTGGGGATGGGGGCAGAAGAGGGGTCGTGCTCACCCCGCTGCCCCCCAAAAATCCTTGAGGGTCCCGTGCCAGGTGCTGCGAGGGGTCCCGATAACCTCCCAAAAGCCCCAAAAATACCCCCACCCCACCAAAAAAAAACCCCAAAACCAAAGAAATACCCACTAAAAAGCTCCTAAAACCCAAAAAAATACACCCCAACCCCCCAGAAACACCTCACACCTAGGGATGAATTCCGTGTTCTGGCTGGGCAGGGGTTGCCTTCACCCCCAAAAACCCCAGAGGGGGGGTGCAGGCTGCATTTCGGGGGTGTCTGAGGGGTTCCCCGCTTTCCTGCTGCCCAGGTGTGCCTGGGGGAGGCGGCCCGGGATGAGTTCCACGTGCTGGAGGTGGTGGCCGAGGACGGCGACAGCCGCGCCCCGGTGCCGCTGGCCACGCTGAAACCCTCGGTGCTGCCCACGGTGAGTGCCCGGGGGGCTCCGGGGGGCTGACCTGGGGGGCTCCTGACCTGGGGAGGGGTCTGGGGGCTGCTGCTGTCCCAGGAAGGGGTCTGGGGGCTGCTGCTGTCCTGGGGGGCTGCCAGGAATTGTTTCCTCCCCCATTTCCCAGGCCTCGCTGGCCGGAGTGGAGCTGACCCCCCCGGTGACCTTCCGCCTGCGAGCCGGCTCCGGCCCCCTCTTCATCAGCGGCCAGCACGTGTCCAGTGAGTATCGGGGTCCCCTTGACACCCCCATGTGTCCTGGGAGTATCGGGGTGTCCCCTGACCCCCCTCTGCATGTCCAGTGAGTATCGGGGTCCCCCTGACCCCCCCCATGTGTCCAGTGAGTATCGGGGTGTCCCCTGACCCACCTCCCATGTGTGCAGTGAGTGTCGGGGTGTCCCCCCACCCCCTGAACCCCCCCGCATGTGCAGTGAGTATCGGGGTCCCCTCCAATCCCTGACCCCCCTCTGCATGTCCAGTGAGTATCGGGGTCCCCCTGACCCCCCCATGTGTCCAGGGAGTATCAGGATGTCGTTCCTCCCACGTGTCCCATGAGTATTGGGGTGTCCCCCATCCCCTGAACCCCCCTTGTGTGTCCCGTGAGTATTGGGGTCCCCCGGCCCCCCCAGCGGGGTCCGGGTGCTCAGCCAGCCTCTCCCGCAGTCATGGACCTGACGTCGGGGGAGGAGGAGGAGGAGGAGGAGGAAGAGGAAGCAGCAGAGGAGGCCCCCAAGAAGCCCCCCAAGGGCTCAGGTGCCCAGAAGGGCAGCACTGCCAAGGTCAGCACCTGAGGGGTAGGGCCGGAGGGGTTTTGGGGTCCCTTGGCTCGGGAAAGGGGGGCGGGCACCCCAAATTCCTCTCTGTTTACGGGGATGAGCCGCGGCCTTCATCCTCGGGGGAGGAAGAGTCCCCACCCTCCATCTCTTTCTCTCTCCTGTAGAAAAGGAAGCGGGAAAAGGAGGAGGAGCCGTGAGTATGAAACCCTGGGATGGGGGGGTCCCCCTGGCCGGGACCCCAATCCCAACCCCCCCTTCTCTCCCGAGCAGGAACAGCCTCGCCCCCGCGGGTCCCCCCCCGGCCAAGGTAGGAGCAGATCGGGGTGTCCCCTGTCCCCCCCTCAAATCCCTCGGGATAACGGGCCGGGGGTTTTGGGGGGGCGGGGAAGGGTTGGTGTGTGACGGGCAGCAGCCGCTGGACCCAAAAACGGGGGCGAAGCGCAGATTTGGGGGCTCCCCCCGCGTTCAGCCCCCTCCCCTTTCCCGCAGGGACGCGGAGCCGGCCGGGGCAGGAAAGCAGCGGCCAAGAAATGACGGGAATTCCATCCAGGTGAGGGTTGGGGGGACGAGCCCGGGTCCCCACGGACCCTGGGGGCGGCTCCGACCCCACAGCGGGGTCACTTTTCCAAAACCCTTTTCCTCCTTCCCTTCCAGGTGCCAGGAGGCAGCAGCAGCAGCTGGTGGTGGTGGTGGTGTCATTCCCAAATAAAGCACATTTTGCACTCCTGGATCCCCGTGCTGCTGCGGGGGGGCTGCGGGAGCACCCCGCACCCTGGATTTGGGGGCCAGAGCTGCCCCCCACCCCGGACAGAGGGGGATTAGAGGGACAGGATGGGGTGCCACTGACCTGGCCGGGATTTGAGGGGGCACTGGAGCCCCCCGGGTGTCCCAGTGAGGACCTGAACCCCCGCTTGGGGCAGTGAGGGGGGGGTTAACGCCACTCTGCACCCCCGGGGGATGCTCAGACCTCCGGGCACATCCCGGGGGCGGTGGCGGCTCCACGTCCATCAATCGCCCCCCGGGATCAGGGGGGTTTCGGAGGGGAGGGTCTCCAGAACCGGGCCCTGCCCCGTTTGGGGGGCTGCAAAATGGTGTTGGGCTGAATTCCTGGCCCGGGGTGGTTAATTTGGGTTGGTTTTAAGGAATCTGGCCCCCCACCGTCCTGCGGATGGGGGGTGGGCTCCCCGCTGCTCCCGCCTCTCCGGGGGGGAAACTGAGGCATGAGTGCGAAGGCAGGTGAGCTCTGAACGGACCCCCCTCCCTTGTGCTGCCCCTCGGGGACCCCCCCCCCAGGGCATCACACCTAGGGATGAATTCCGTGTTCTGGCTGGGCAGGGGTTGCCTTCACCCCCAAAAACCCCAGAGGGGGGGTGCAGGCTGCATTTCGGGGGTGTCTGAGGGGTTCCCCGCTTTCCTGCTGCCCAGGTGTGCCTGGGGGAGGCGGCCCGGGATGAGTTCCACGTGCTGGAGGTGGTGGCCGAGGACGGCGACAGCCGCGCCCCGGTGCCGCTGGCCACGCTGAAACCCTCGGTGCTGCCCACGGTGAGTGCCCGGGGGGCTCCGGGGGGCTGACCTGGGGGGCTCCTGACCTGGGGAGGGGTCTGGGGGCTGCTGCTGTCCCGGGGGGCTGCCAGGAATTGTTTCCTCCCCCATTTCCCAGGCCTCGCTGGCCGGAGTGGAGCTGACCCCCCCGGTGACCTTCCGCCTGCGAGCCGGCTCCGGCCCCCTCTTCATCAGCGGCCAGCACGTGTCCAGTGAGTATCGGGGTCCCCTTGACACCCCCATGTGTCCTGGGAGTATCGGGGTGTCCCCTGACCCCCCTCTGCATGTCCAGTGAGTATCGGGGTCCCCCTGACCCCCCCATGTGTCCAGGGAGTATCAGGATGTCGTTCCTCCCACGTGTCCCATGAGTATTGGGGTGTCCCCCATCCCCTGAACCCCCCTTGTGTGTCCCGTGAGTATTGGGGTCCCCCGGCCCCCCCAGCGGGGTCCGGGTGCTCAGCCAGCCTCTCCCGCAGTCATGGACCTGACGTCGGGGGAGGAGGAGGAGGAGGAGGAGGAAGAGGAAGCAGCAGAGGAGGCCCCCAAGAAGCCCCCCAAGGGCTCAGGTGCCCAGAAGGGCAGCACTGCCAAGGTCAGCACCTGAGGGGTAGGGCCGGAGGGGTTTTGGGGTCCCTTGGCTCGGGAAAGGGGGGCGGGCACCCCAAATTCCTCTCTGTTACGGGGATGAGCCGCGGCCTTCATCCTCGGGGGAGGAAGAGTCCCCACCCTCCATCTCTTTCTCTCTCCTGTAGAAAAGGAAGCGGGAAAAGGAGGAGGAGCCGTGAGTATGAAACCCTGGGATGGGGGGGTCCCCCTGGCCGGGACCCCAATCCCAACCCCCCCTTCTCTCCCGAGCAGGAACAGCCTCGCCCCCGCGGGTCCCCCCCCGGCCAAGGTAGGAGCAGATCGGGGTGTCCCCTGTCCCCCCCTCAAATCCCTCGGGATAACGGGCCGGGGGTTTTGGGGGGGCGGGGAAGGGTTGGTGTGTGACGGGCAGCAGCCGCTGGACCCAAAAACGGGGGCGAAGCGCAGATTTGGGGGCTCCCCCCGCGTTCAGCCCCCTCCCCTTTCCCGCAGGGACGCGGAGCCGGCCGGGGCAGGAAAGCAGCGGCCAAGAAATGACGGGAATTCCATCCAGGTGAGGGTTGGGGGGACGAGCCCGGGTCCCCACGGACCCTGGGGGCGGCTCCGACCCCACAGCGGGGTCACTTTTCCAAAACCCTTTTCCTCCTTCCCTTCCAGGTGCCAGGAGGCAGCAGCAGCAGCTGGTGGTGGTGGTGGTGTCATTCCCAAATAAAGCACATTTTGCACTCCTGGATCCCCGTGCTGCTGCGGGGGGGCTGCGGGAGCACCCCGCACCCTGGATTTGGGGGCCAGAGCTGCCCCCCACCCCGGACAGAGGGGGATTAGAGGGACAGGATGGGGTGCCACTGACCTGGCCGGGATTTGAGGGGGCACTGGAGCCCCCCGGGTGTCCCAGTGAGGACCTGAACCCCCGCTTGGGGCAGTGAGGGGGGGGGTAACGCCACTCTGCACCCCCGGGGGATGCTCAGACCTCCGGGCACATCCCGGGGGCGGTGGCGGCTCCACGTCCATCAATCGCCCCCCGGGATCAGGGGGGTTTCGGAGGGGAGGGTCTCCAGAACCGGGCCCTGCCCCGTTTGGGGGGCTGCAAAATGGTGTTGGGCTGAATTCCTGGCCCGGGGTGGTTAATTTGGGTTGGTTTTAAGGAATCTGGCCCCCCACCGTCCTGCGGATGGGGGGTGGGCTCCCCGCTGCTCCCGCCTCTCCGGGGGGGAAACTGAGGCATGAGTGCGAAGGCAGGTGAGCTCTGAACGGGCCCCCCTCCCTTGTGCTGCCCCTCGGGGACCCCCCCCCCAGGGCAGTTTGGCCCCCCCCCGGGTTCCCCAGCTCCCTGCCGCGGATTTATCAGGTATTTAACACCTCCCTAGCCAGCAAAGGGTGCCTGGGGGATCCCCGGCCTCCCCCTGCGGGACTGCGAGGGGCGGGGGTCCCCAGAGCCTCCCAGCGCTGGAGCAGCCCCCCCCCCCGGGTTCCCCAGCTCCCTGCCGCGGATTTATCAGGTATTTAACACCTCCCTAGCCAGCAAAGGGTGCCTGGGGGATCCCCGGCCTCCCCCTGCGGGACTGCGAGGGGCGGGGGTCCCCAGAGCCTCCCAGCGCTGGAGCAGCGCCTGAGACCCTCCTGTGGCGGGTGAGGGGCTGCGCTGGCACCTGGTGGCACCAGAGGGTGACAAAACCCCTCTGTCCCCGAGGTGCGCCCGAGGGTTGGGGCGGGGGCAGGTGGGGACCCCCCAAGCCGAGCCCACCTCCCCCGTCCCCTCGTCCTGCCCCAGCTCCCCGGCCCGGGGAGGGCTCCGTGGAGCGGGGGGGCTGCGGGCACCGCCCTGCCCGGGGGCATCGGGCTGGGCACGGGCGGCCGGTGGCGAGGAGACAGCGTGGCGCTGGGAGTCCCCTAGAGCCGGAGGGTGGAGAAGAGAAGGAGAAGAAGCCCCCCGACCCCACAATCGCCTTCTCCTGTGCCAATGCCCCGGAGGCGGCAGCCGGACCCTGGGGGTGCCCAAATTCCCGAACCGGGGCTCTCCCCGGCCCGACACACCCGGCTGGGCTGGGGGGCAGAAAATCCCAAAACCTGGAGTTCAGTGGAGCTCTAAACCATGAGGGAAACGCAGCACCCGCAGTCAGGGCGGGCAGAGCCCCGGCGCCGCTGCCCGGGTGCGCGGCCGGAGTCAGCCCAGCGGCCGCCGTGATTTTATTCTTCCCCTCCCGTTCTCCTCCGCCCCCACAGCCCCGGCTCCTTGTTCCTGCAGGAATTCGAGACCTTCTTGAAAGGAGAAGGTTTTGAGAAAGGAGCAGGCTGGGTCCGCACCCTCCCTGCCCCTGCCACCCCTTCCCCAATTTAGCCAAAGCTTCAAAGGCAGAGGAGTTCCCTTGGTGTCATCTCTGCTTTAATTCTTCCCCTGTCCCCTTTTTCTTCCCTCCTCTCTCTCCTCCTTCCCAAGCCCTTCCTCTCCTTTCTCTCAGGGTTTTTCCCTTTCCTCCTCTCTCTTTCTTCTCGACCTCCCAGGATAGAAAGGGCTCAGAAGGGTGAGTCCTTTTTAATTATGGCTGGAGAAGGAGAGAGGAAAAAACCCTGGCACGGCTTCTTTCTTGTTTTTTGAGGTGAGACCTGGGCGGGGGGACAGGAATGTGCTCTGTGCAGGAAGTGCCCTGGAGGGAGTCTGCTGCCAGCCTTTCCCAGGGGCTGGGGGTGCCCTGGGGGGGTCGAGGGCACCTCCCCCAGAGCCCCCCTGGCTGCAGAGGTGCTGGGTGCCACCCCCTGCCAGCCCAAACCCCCTGTCCTTGCCCTCCAGTCACAGCACAGAGGTGCCATGAGCTGGACAGGGGGTGCCACTGTGGGATGACAGGGCTGGTGTCCCCTGGGGCGTGTCCAGGCCAGCCCCCACAGCCTGGAGGTCACCGGGCTCCTCGGAGCCCTGCAGGAAGGCGCTGGGGGAGGTTTGGGGTCAGGCAGCTCCTGCACAGAGGGGCACAGGGGTTGTGTCCCCCTGGGAATGTGGGAATGCTCCTTGGGCACATCCCGCAGGGTGGGGATGCCAAGGGATGCTCCTGCACCTCCTGCATCCCTGTGTGTGTCCAGGGCATTGTCCTGCACCTCCTACATCCCTGTGTGTGTGCACAGGATTGTTCTGCACTCCTTCCACCCCTCTGAGCACCCAGAGGATTGTCCTGCATGTTCTCCATCCCTCTGTGAAGGCTGAAGGAGGCTCCTGCATTTCCTCCATCCCTCACTAAATCCAGAGGTTTATCCTGCACATTCTCTCTCTCTCAGTGAGGCTGAAGGATGCCCCTGCACTCCCTCATCCCTCAGTGAGGCCGAGGGATACTCCTGCACCTCCTCCATCCTTCACTAAATGCACAGGATTGTCTTGCACTCTTTCCACCCCTCTGTGCATTCAGAGGATTGTCCTGCACCTCCTCCATCCTTCACTAAATGCACAGGATTGTCTTGCACTCTTTCCACCCCTCTGTGCATTCAGAGGATTGTCCTGCACCTCCTCCATCCCTCTGTGTGTGCAGAGGTTTGTCCTGCGTGTTCTCCATCCCGTCTTGCACTCTTTCCACCCCTCTGTGCATTCAGAGGATTGTCCTGCAACTCCTCCATCCCTCTGTGTGTCCAGAGGTTTGTCCTGCACGTTCTCCATCCCTCAGTGAGGCCAAAGGATGCCCCTGCACTCCTCCATCCCTCACTAAATCCACAGGACTGTCCTGCACTCCCTCCATCCCTCACTGAGGCCAAGGGGTACTCCTGCACCTCCTCCATCCTTCACTAAATGCACAGGATTGTCTTGCACTCTTTCCACCCCTCTGTGCATTCAGAGGATTGTCCTGCACCTCCTCCATCCCTCTGTGTGTGCAGAGGTTTGTCCTGCGTGTTCTCCATCCCTCAGTGAAGCCAAAGGATGCCCCTGCACGTCCTGCATCCCCCTCTAAATCCAGATGATTGTCCTGCCCTTCCTCATCCCTCAGTGAGGCCAAAGGATTGTCCTGCACTCCCTCCATCCCTCACAAAATCCACAGGCTTGTCTTGCACTCCTTCCATCCCTCTGAGCATCCAGAGGATTGTCCTGCACCTCCTCTATCCCACATTAAATCCAGAGGATTATCCTGAACTCCTCCATCCCTCACTGAGGCCGAAGGATGCCGCTGCACTCCTCCATCCCTCTGTGTCCACAGGCTTGTCCTGCCCTCTCATCCCCCTGTGACTCCCCAGGATGCTCCTGCACCTCCTCCACCCCTTGCCGAAGCCCGAGGCCTCTCCTTCCCACCCTGCAGCTCCCGGCGAGCCCCGAGGCCGCTCCCGCAGCTCCCCGGTGCCCATCCCGGGCTGCGGCGGGCGGGGGGCGGTCGCTGTGGCAACGTGCTTGCGGCGCAGGGGCGGGAGGGGATGCTCGGCGCGGGGATGGCTCCCGGCGGACCGGCAGCGCAGCCTGCGGCGGGCCATGGGCTCCCCTGAAGGTAGGGCCTGACCCCCTGCCCCCCACCCCGGCACCCCCGGGCATCTCCTGCGCCGGGCCGGGCTCTGAAGGGCGCGGCGGGGCCGGGGGTGACCCAGCGGGGCCGGGCTCGGCTGTGGGTGGGTGGATGGGGCGCTGCGGGTTGGAGACGGATCAGGACGCCCCCAAACTCCTCCCGCCGTCCCCGAGGGCACCCCCGGAGCGCTGGGCCGGGCGGCGGTGCCACGGCCGGGTCAGGAGCCCGAGCAGCCCCCGGGCGCAGGTGGCAGCCGCCGAGCAGCCGCTGCGATCGTCTTCATGCTTGAGAAACTGGGTTAGTGGCGGGGGAGAGGCGGCCGCAGCCTCGATGATTCACGGGCATGGCCCCGGGGGGCGGCGGGGGCCGGCGGAGCCCCCCGGGTGCGGGGGGAGGGCGGCGTGGCGGAGGCCGGGCCGGGATGCTCCGGCGAGGCAGGCCGGCCCTGGCGCTGAAGGACACGCGTGTGAATCCCCCTGGGGGTGTACCCCTGCCAGATGTTCACCTCCGGGCCTGCATCCTCCCCAGATGTGCAGCCCTGGGTGTGTTTCCCCCAGATGTGCACCCCGGGCTCCATCCCCGGACACACCCCAGGTTCTGCCTCCCCCTGCGTGTCCATCTCCCCCCAGATGTGCATCCCGAGGGGTCCAGCAACCCTTTCCTGAGCCGGGTGGGGGGAAACTGAGGCAGCGAAGAGCAGAAGCAGCGAGGAGGAGCCCCAGAAAGGGAGCTGCTGTCACCAGGCAGCGCTCCCACACAGAGCCGGGAATAGACTCCGGATCCCGGCGCTGCGGCACCAACGCAGCCCCGCCGCCCCCGGCGGGGTCCGGCCGCGGCTCCGCTCCCGTGCCGGATGCCGGGACACCGGGATGACGTTCAGAGAGGCTCCAGAGGGATGGAGGTGGCCGCAGCCACCCTGCCCTGCCCAGCCCTTCCCCAGAACCGGGGCTAGACCGCGACCCCCAAGGCGTGGTGGGGGGATTGGGGCGTGGGGGGCATCAACGGCCAGAGCCCAGCGCTCGGTTTTGGCAGATTCCCAGCACCTGCCACCCCTCCCTGGACTGCGCCAGTCCCGCGGATGGAAATTCCCGCTGGATTTCCCCTCCCGGGGCAGGGAGGGGTAGGTGCAGCACCCCCAGACCCAGCCTGGGGGTCGACTTGGGCGGCAGGTGCCATCTCCAGCCCCGCTCCCCACGCTGCCGCAGCCCCGTGAGGCGCTCAGCACCCCCCCCGAGAGGGGCTGGGGGTGCCAAAATCCCTCCGAGAGGCTGCGGGGGGAGCGGGGGCTGCCGCGCCCGGTGCCCAGCGGGGGCTGGGGGGGTGCCGGGGCTCCGGACTGCCCCTGGCAGCGGCACAGGCCGGGTTATTCCTGTTTTCCTCCCTCTTTGTGCCGGGCGAGCGGGAGGAGCGGCAGCCAATACTGCTTCGTCATGATGCCGGCTAATTCTCCTCTTGTTGGGAAAGGGACTGAGCCAGCAGCGAGCTGGGGACGGGCGAGCGGCACCCACGCGGCCACCACCCCCCCCGGGAGCCACGCACTCCTCCACCCTCCCAGCAGCGCTCACGCAACCTCCCCCGCACGCCGCCCAGGCGCGGTTATCGGGGCCGGGGCTGCCGGGGGGTGATAGGCTCGCTCGCCCGCCCGCGCCCCGCTCTCGGATGCGCCGCAGCCCCGGCAGCGCCAGTCGGGGGCCGAGCGAGCGCAGGGCATCCCCCCGCGGCCGGAGGGATGCGGTGTCCCCGGCCTTAGGTGAGTGAGCGGCCGGCAGGGACGGGGACAGGGCTGGGGACACGGCTGGCGTGGGGGGGTGGGGTGCGAGGGGGGTCGCTCTCCGTTTTCCCGTCGCTTTTTCGGTGCCGCCGCTCCCGGGGCGGGGGGGGGGCTCCGGGGGGCCCCACATTTTGTCGCCCACCTCGTCCCCCCCGGCGGCACCACAGCGCTCGCAGCGCCCCCCGGGACCTCCCTGTGCCCCTTCCCCGGGGACATCGCCACGGGCACGGTGGATGCCGAGCGAGGAGGCCGGGACAGCCCAGCCCTGCCCTGCCCCACCTGAGGAGTGAATTTGCGGGGTCTCAGAGCTGCTGCTGGGGGGGCACCCCCCAATCCCACCCCCCCGGGAAGGGTTTGATGCTCCCTGGCTGTGGTGGTCGAGCTTTTGCCACGGACACGGGATTTTGGGGCTCCCCAACCCCCCTGGCAGAGCCCGGAGGGGCGAAATCCCCTCCTCCCCACCTCCACGGAGCATCGGGGGGTGATTTAGGGGGAGAATTTGGGGTGTCCCCCCCATGTCTTGGCCGCGGATGGAACTGTCTGGGGGGGTTCAGCTCCTGCTGTGGGCACTCAGGGGGGTGGCCAGGCTGGGCTCATTCCAGGGCCACCACCTGCCCCCTCGGGACCCCAGGCCACCTCCCGGCTATCCTGTCAGGTGTGAACCCCCCTGAGTGCCCCCAGGTGCGGTTTTGGGGTGCCCAGGCCCCCACCCCGGGGTACCCAATGCTGGGCGTGCCGTGGGGCCGGGCCCAGGGCTGGCAGAACCGGGGGGGGTTTTTGGGGTGCGGGGTCGCCCCCAAACCCCCAGTGGAGCCCTGGAGGGCGCGGCCTGCTCACACATCCCCAGCGGGTCCCTCCGCGTGCGGGATGAGCAGGCTAATCCCACTTTAATCCCAGATTACGAGCCACGTGAGGCGCGGCCCAGAGCGGGCTGTGGGGTGGCCATCGGGGCAGGGGGGCCGGGCAAGGAGCCCCCCCCATCCCAGGGAGTTTTGGGGTTCAGGTCATGTCTCCCCACTCTCTGCGGGGCTCGGAGCCTCCTGGCAGGGCAGGGGGACGGCTGCGTTGGCCCAGATTCCGCGGATGGGAGGAAGCGAGGAGGTGGAAATGCCTCCTTCATCTCCATCCGCTCCGGGATGGGGTGGGCGGATTGTTGTTATTCCCCCCTCCCCTCCCCATCCACCTTCCATCCAGGGAAACTGAGGCACGGAGCATCCCCGTGCCCGCGGCAGGTCCATCCCAGCCAGGGAAAAACGCCCGGGGGTGGCAGCTGGTGGCTTTTGAGGCCACCGCGGTGCCCGGGCAGCGGCAGGGGAGCGATCGATAGCCACGGGCTCGCTGCCGCTGGCCCGGCGGGGATGGCAGCGGCAGAAACAGGACAAAGGAGGAACCGGACACCGGCGGGCCGCGGGTCGGGGACCCACGAGCTGCCCGTGGCTCGTCGCTGTCGCGATCAGGTTGCCGGTGGGGCCCCGCGTGTGGCGGTGCCTCGGTTTCCCCGGTGAGCGGGGAGGATGCTCCGGGCCTCGATGCGCTGTTTGTTTGGAGGTTGTGGTGGGAGGAGGAGCAGCAGCAGGAGGAGGAGGAGGAGGAGGCCGGGGCTGGGCTGGGCCGCGCTGGGAAGCACCGGACACCGTTCCCAGGACTGGCGGGAACCGTCTGTTCAGGGAACTTGTGACCCCGGGTGTCCCCCCCTTGTCGCTGCTGGCCGCGAGCCGCGACAGCCGCGCCGCAATTCGGGCACACGGTGGCACGGGCAGGGAAGGGAGGGTGAGGAGGATGATGGAGGAAGGCTGGGGGGTCCCCTCCCGCTCCCCCACGGGCCGTGGGGGGGTTCTCACGGCCTGGCCCCTGGCCCGGGGCCGGGCGCTGATGGCTTTGGCGGCTGCGAAAAGTCAAATCCGGATTTCCTCGGGGTGGGGAGGAGGGAACCGGCCTCTTCCCGCGGCAGCACAGCCCTGGCTCCCCCTCACGGGGGGGCGAGCGGCACCCCTCCATCCCGGTGAGCCCCGCCCGCACGTGTCCTGTCCGTCCGTCCATCCATCCATCCTTCCTTCCTCCCTCCACCTCTCTCCCTCTTCCCACGCTCCCTGCCCAGCCCTTTTCTCTCCCCGCCGTGCGTCCCCTCAGCATCTCCCTGGGAGGGGGACACGCTGCGTCCCCCCCACCTCCTGTCCCCGCTCCCCCTCGCTCTCCTGGCCAGGAAAATCCCAAACAGCCGAGCCGCCCTTATCTCGGGCCACGCGGGGGACCTGGCCGCGGATCCGCGGGGAGATCGGAGGTTGCCATGGGGAACGCGGCTGCCATCGGGGCGGTGGCTCCCTGCCTGCGCCTGATAAGCTGTCCCCGCGTCCCCAGAGCGCGGGGGGGGGGGGGGGGGGGGGCACCGTGGCCGAGGTGGTTGTGCAGGCCTGGCACCCCTCGCCAGTTTTGTGGCGTCTCTCCGCACCCCCGGCTCGGGTTTGTTTTCCTTCCCCGCCGGCCCCGCACCCACCCTCCCGCCGCTCCCTCTGCTCCCGCTCTCCGCCATCGCCTCCATCTGCTCGCTGTCACCGCGGCCCCGCCGGTGTCCCGAGCGCCCCGGAGCGCGACCGGAGGCGGGGGGCAAGGCTGGCTCCGGCGTTGGAAAGTGTGAGCTCAGGGCTGTGCCCGCCCGGACAATGCCAGCCTTGTGCCGCTCCGGGGGTGCCCACCCCACCGGTCCCGGTCCCCGGGGAGGGCGGGGAGGTGCTGGGGGTGGGGGTCACCGCGCTAAACCCGGTGCCAGGGACAAATCTGGGGGTTCTTAGTGGCGGGGGGGTCTCCAGGGAGGGGACGCGGAGCTGCGGGCAGGGCCCCCTCCTCCGGCAGCCCGAGGATGCTCCGGGATCTCTCGGATCTGCTCCTGCTCCATCTCCGCTTCCCACGGGAGCGAGTTCTGCGCTCGCGGGGCTGGGGGACAGCGGGGTTGGTGTCCCCAAAGGCGGTGCCACCCCCGTGCTCTGCAGGGTTGGGGCTCAGGGCCGGAGCTACCTGCGCTGCTGGCGCTGTCGCTGTCACCGCCCGGCCCGCACGAGTTTTCCCAACTCCCTCCTTTCTGAAAGGAGAAGTTCGGAGCAGAATGGGGAATTTTCCCCTTTGTGCGCGGCATTGTGGCTTTAGAGAGCGGCCGGGCCCGAGCCCCGGGGGCTCCGGGGGGCCGAGCCCGTCCCGCTGCCGCTGGAGCCTTCTGGAGGCCGCGGGACAAAAGGGCGACACTGCCGCCGCTCCGCTCGCCAGCACCGTCAGCAGCCACCGGGCAGGGACACGCAGCGGGCACGGGGGACAGCGTGGGGACAAGGGGAGGTTTGTCCCCCACTCGCCCTGCGAGTCACTGCCAGCTCTGTCCTCTCCCTGCAGAGGGAACACCCGAGCCCCAGCCCGGCGTCGGCGCCCAGAGGGATGTGGAGCCACAGAGGCAGCGGTGAGTGCGGTGTCCCCTCCCTGTCCCTCGCCTGTCCCCTCCCTGTTTCTGCCTGTCCCCTGCCTGTGCCTGTCCCTGCCTGTCCCTGCCTGTCCCTCGCCTGTCCCCTTCCCGTCCCTGCCTGTCCCCTCCCTGCCCCTGCCTGTCCCCTGCCTGTCCCCGCCTGTCCCCTCCCTGCCCCTGCCTGTCCCCTCCCTGCCCCTGCCTGTTCCCTGCCTGTCCCTCGCCTGTCCCTCCCTGTCCCTGCCTGGGGCACAGTGGCATCTCCCGGCAGGCGCGTCCTGCTGCCAGCACAGCGATGTTTGGCAGTGGGGACGTGCCACCCGGTGTGGGGCGTGCGGGGCTCAGCCCGTGCCAGGAGGGCGGTGGGAGATGGGACCCCCACCTGGGGGGCTCCGTGCCCACCCTGGCAGTGCCCACAGCCCCGCTGTCCCCACAGGAGCCTGTGACTGACACAGCCCTGCCAGCCCACAGCTGAATGGAAAGACTGCAGAAGGTGAGGGGGGCTGGGGAAGGGCTCTGGGGGTCCGGGAAGGTCTTGGGGGTCCAAGGAGGGTGTTGGGGGTCAGAACAGGGTGCTGAGGGTCCAGAACTGGGTGCTGGAGGTACAAAACTGGGTATTGGGGGCCCAGAACAGGGTTCTGGGGGTCTGGGAATGTGATGGGGGTCCAGAACAGGGTGCTGAGGGTCCAGAACTGGGTGCTGGAGGTACAAAACTGCATGCTGGGGGTACAGAACAGTGTTCTGGGGGTCCAAGGAGGATGTTGGGGGTCCAGAACTGCATGCTGGGGGTACAAAACAGTGTTCTGGGGGTCTGGGAATGTGATGGGGGTACAGAACTGGGTGTTGGGGGTTCAAGGAAGGTCTTGGGGGTCCAAGGAGGGTGTTGGGGGTCCAGGGAAGGTGCTGGGATTCAGGAAAAGTGTTGGGAGTCTGGGGAAGGTGCTGGGATAGAGAACAGGGTGCTGGGGGTCCAGAGAAGGTTCTGGAGGTCCAGGGAAGGGTGCTGGGGGTCCAAGAAAGGACATTGGGGGTACAGAGAAAGTGCTGGGGGTGTGGGAAAAGGTCTGGGAGTACAGAACAGGGTGTTGGGTGTCTAGAGAAGGTTTTGGAGGCCCAGGGAAGAGTGCTGGGGGTCCGGGCAGGGTGTTGGGGGTACAGGGAAAGTGCTGGGGGTCCGGGAAAGGTGCTGGAGTCTGGGAAGGTACTGGGTGTCCAGAGAAGGTTTGGGAAGTCCAGGGAAGGGTGTTGGGGGTCCAGGAAAGGTGCTGGGGGTCCAGAGAAGGTTTGGGAGGTCCAAGGAAGGGTGTTGGGGGTCCAGGAAAGGTGCTGGGGGTCCAGGTGGGGTGCTGAGGGTCCTGGCAGGGTGTGGGAGAAGGGGGAGCCCTGCACGCAGGGAGGGCACACGGGGCTGGGGGCCAAGGGCATGGGCTGCTGTGAGCAGGACCCTGCCTTCCTCCTCCTCCTCCTCCTCGTCCCCAGCCCAGCCTGGCAGCACCATCTAGCGGCAGCGTGTCCTGGCCAAGCCGCTGTCACCTCCACCCCAAATGAAGGCATTTTCTCTTCATGCCAGGCCAAAATGCACAATGGGGTCCTGGGCTACAAGGAACTCGTAAAAAATTTCCTTTTTTGCCCCAAATGTAAACATTTTCCCTTCATTTGAGGCCAAAATGGACAACGGGCGGCAGCGTGTCCTGGCCAAGCCGCTGTCACCTCCCCGCTGTCCCCTGCCGGCCCGCGCCCATCAGAAACGCCCATCCCAAGGAATCTGGACTCCGTGGGCACAGGGGTGTCCCCTGCCCCCCTCCCCGAGCACACCCCCGAGCCCCTTCCTGGGCTGAAATCCCCCCTTTTCCATCCAGCAGCCTCTGACCTCCCCTGGGAGCGTCTGCTCTTCCCGCGGATCCAGCGTTCCTGGCTCTCCCTCCAGCATCGTGGTAAGAACCTTTCCCACCTTCCCACCTCATCCCTAAATCCCTGGGGTCGGGATGTGACCACCCCAAACCCCCTCCATCCCCCTGGCACGGCCTTGGAGGATGTGAATCCTCCCCATTCCCAAAAATCCCCTTCTGCACCCCAAATGAAGGAGTTTTTCCTCCTTTCCAGGCCAAAATGGACAACGAGGGCCTGGGCTACGAGGACCTCATAAAAAATTCCCTTCTGCACCCCAAATGAAGGCATTTTCTCTTCATTCCAGGCCAAAATGGACAACGAGGGCCTGGGCTACGAGGACCTCATAAAAAATTCCCTTCTGCACCCCAAATGAAGGCATTTTCTCTTCATTCCAGGCCAAAATGGACAACGAGGGCCTGGGCTACGAGGACCTCATAAAAAATTCCCTTCTGCACCCCAAATGAAGGCATTTTCTCTTCATTCCAGGCCAAAATGGACAACGAGGGCCTGGGCTACGAGGACCTCATAAAAAATTCCCTTCTGCACCCCAAATGATGGCGTTTTTCCTCCTTTCCAGGCCAAAATGGACAACGAGGTCCTGGGCTACAAGGACCTGGCTGCCATCCCCAAGGACAAAGCGATCCTGGACATCGAGCGCCCCGACCTGATGATCTACGAACCCCATTTCACCTACTCGCTCATGGAGCACGTGGAGCTGCCCCGGAGCCGGGAGGTGAGGGGGAATTTCCTGAGGGTTTTTTTGGGAGAATCCCACCTGGATAGAAGGATCACTGAGCTGGAATCCAATTCTAGAATAATAGAAAAAAAATTCTAGCACAAAAATATCTAAAGTTGATTAAAATTCATCATCATTTGTAACAGTTTGTGGAGGTTATTAAAATAGTTAAAATTCAGTAAAAAACATTAAATTAATTAAAATTAATTTTAAAATAAATTTAAATTAAAATAAAAGTAATAAAAATAGAATTAAATAAAATAATAAATTATAAATGAATTAAAATTGTATAATAAATAACATAATAAATTATAACAATAAAAATAAAATTAAAATAAAATAAAATGAATTAAAATGGGATAATAAATAACATAATAAATTATAACAATAAAAATAAAATTAAAATAAAATAAAATGAATTAAAATGGGATAATAAATAACATAATAAATTATAACAATAAAAATAAAATTAAAATAAAATAAAATGAATTAAAATGGGATAATAAATAACATAATAAATTATAACAATAAAAATAAAATTAAAATAAAATAAAATGAATTAAAATGGGATAATAAATAACATAATAAATTATAACAATAAAAATAAAATTAAAATAAAATAAAATGAATTAAAATGGGATAATAAATAACATAATAAATTATAACAATAAAAATAAAATTAAAATAAAATAAAATGAATTAAAATGGGATAATAAATAACATAATAAATTATAACAATAAAAATAAAATTAAAATAAAATAAAATGAATTAAAATGGGATAATAAATAACATAATAAATTATAACAATAAAAATAAAATTAAAATAAAATAAAATAAATTAAAAGACATTTTAAAAGAATTAAAATTAATTATCTCCTTGCCTTCTGCAGCGCTCCCTGTCTCCCAAATCCATGTCTCCTCCTCCATCTCCAGAGGTGAGTACCGGCTCTGCTGGGCTGTGGGAGGAGGGGGCGGTGCTGGATTGGGGAGGGGTCTCGCTGACCCCCATCCTGTTTTCCCGCAGGTCATCCGGGAGTGGCTGGAGAGCCGCCCCCCCAGCAGCACCCCGCTGCCCCCCTCGCGCCAGGGCCCAGCCCCCACCCGCAGCAGCGTCCAGCACTTCCACCGGCCCGGTAACGGCCCCGGCCCCCCAGAGCGGGACCCCAGCGCTGCCCGAGCCAGACACGGGGTCCTGGAGCCTCTTCCCAAACCCATCAATTCCCAGCCCCATGAGCTCCCGTTCCCAACCCCATGAGCTCCCATTGCCATTCCCATGAGCTCCTGTTCCCATGAGCTGCCATTCCCAACCCCATCAGTTCCCATTCCCATGAGCTCCCATTCCCAACCCCATAAGCTCCGGTTCCCAACCCCATGAGCTCCCTCTCCCAACCCCATCAGTTCCCATTCCCATGAGTTCCCATTCCCAAACCCCATTCCCAACCCCATAAGCTCTGGTTCCCAACCACATGAGCTCCCATTCCCAACCCCATGAGTTCCCAATCCCATGAGCTCCCTCTCCCAACCCCATCAGCTCCCAATCCCAGGAGTTCCCATTCCCAGCCCGATGAGCTCCCATTCCGAATCCCCTGAGTTCCCATTCCCAACCCCACAAGTTCCCATTCCCAGCGCAATGAGCTCCCAACCCCACAAATTCCCATTCCCAACCCCCCAAGTTCCCAATCCCATTCCCATGAGTTCCCATTCCCAACCCCCCAAGTTCCCAATCCCATTCCCATGAGTTCCCATTCCCAACCCCCCAAGTTCCCAATCCCATTCCCATGAGTTCCCATTCCCAACCCCATGAGCTCCCAATCCCATGAGCTCCCATTCCCAATCCCTTGAGTTCCCATGAGTTCCCAACCCCAAATCCCTTTTTTCTCCCAGAGACCGACACCACAGAGCTCAACATTTACAAGAAGCCCCCGATCTACCGGCAGAAAGGTGAGTGTGGGGGGGTCCATCCCATGGGATGGGGCACCCCGGGCTGCTGCCTCACCCTCCCTGTGCCCCCAGACCACCATTCCAGTGCCCACCACGGGAAGCATCTCATAGAGGACCTGATCATCGAATCCTCCAAATTCCCGGCGGCGCAGCCCCCGGATCCCAACCAGCCCGCCAAGATCGAGACCGACTACTGGCCCCGCCCGCCGTCGCTGGCCGTCGTGGGTAGGTGGGACCAGAGGGGTTTTCCCTCCTGGAGCCCCCAGGGGGGGCTGGGAATGGCTGGAACATCCCTCTTCCCGCAGAGACGGAGTGGAGGAGGCGGATGGCATCCAAGAGAGGGGAGGAGGAGGATGAGGATCTGACGGAGGAGATGAAGAACCTGCGGGAGCTCCAGAGGCAGGAGCTGAGCAAGGTCAGGGGCGGGGCGGCAGCTCTGAGGGGCTGGGGGTGCGCTGGCACCGATCCCAACGGGTGTCCCTCGGTTCCCAGGTCACCTCCAACCTCGGGAAGCTGATCCTGAAGGAGGAGATGGAGAAGTCGCTCCCGATCCGGAGGAAAACTCGCTCGCTGCCGGACCGGACGCCTTTCCACACGTGTGAGTGGGATCGTCTGAACGCCGGCCCTTTCCCTCCTCATCTCTGGGTGCCTGCATGCCCAAATCCCCCAAAATCCCACCTGCACCCCCTTCTATCCCCCAAATCCTGTCTGCACGTCTCAAATCCTGCCTGTACATCCCAAATCCTGCCTGCACCCCCCAATTGCCTGTCTGCACTCCTGCTCGTCCCTGACCATCCCTGCCTGTCCCTGAAGGTCCCTGATGGTCTCTGCCCATCCCTGTCCATCCCTGCCTGCCTTAAATGTCCCTAAAGGTCCCTGCCCATCCCTGTCTGTCCCTAAATGTCCCTGATGGTCCCTGCCCCATCCCTGCCCATCTCTGATGGTTCCTGCCCATCCCTACCTGTCCCTGCCCATCCCTAAATGTCCCTGCCTGTCCCTGTCTGTCCCTGCTTGTCCCTACCTGTCCTTTAAGGTCCCTACATGTCCCTGATGGTCTCTGCCCATTCCTGGTGGTCCCTGATGGTTCCTGCCTGTCCCTGCCTGTCCCTAAAGGTCCCTGCCCATCCCTGCCTGTCCTTGTTTGTTGTGGTGTGTTTTTGTCTGTCCCTTAAGGTCCCTAAAGGTCCCTCATGGTCCCTGTCCATCCCTGGCAGTCTCTGCCCATCCCTGTCTATCTCTAAATGTCCCTTCCCATCCCTGCCTGTCCCTAAAGGTCCTTGACTGTCCCTGCCCATTTCTGCCCGTCCCTGAAGGTCCCCAAAGGTCCCTGATGGTCTCTGCCCATCCCTGGTGGTCCCTGATGGTCCCTGCCCATCCCTGTCCGTCCCCGCCTGTCCCTGAATGTCCCCAAAGGTCCCTGAACGCCCCTGCCTATCCCTGCCCATCCCTGCCTGTCCCCGCCTGTCCCTGAATGTCCCCAAAGGTCCCTGACGGTCTCTGCCTCTCTCCCAGCCCTCCACACGAGCTCCAAGAGCTCCTCCCTCCCCGCCTCCGGCCGGAGCACCCTCACCCGGGTAAGCAGCTCTCAGCTGTCCCCCCACCCTGCCGGGGGTGCCCCCAGCCCGCTCAGGGGTTTGGGGTCACCCCTGTGACCCTGTCCCTGTCCCCCTGCAGCTGCAGTCGGCAGAGTTCGGCTCGGCGGGGAGCGAGAAGGGCAGCCCTGGTGAGGGCCGGGCAGGGAGTGGGGGGGTCCTGGGGATCTGGGGGTGTCCTGGGGGTGTCCTGAGGACCTGGGGGTGTCCTGGGGATGTTCTGGGGAAGTGGAGGTGTCCTGGGGTTGTCCCAGGGGTATGGGGGTGTCCCTGGGAGTGTGGGGGTGTCCTGGGGGTGCTGGAATGTCCTGCAGGGATGTGGGAGTGTTTTGGGGATGTGAGAGTGTTCTGGGAGTGTGGGAGTGTCCTGGGGATTCTGAAATTATCTGGAGGGATGTGGGGGTGTCCTGGAGATGTGGGGGTGTCCCAGGGGATGTTCCTGGGAATGTGGGGGTGCCCTGGGAGGTGTGGGTGTGTCCCCAGGGACTGGGAGTGGTGGCGCAAGCCCGGGCTCAGCGGGGTCCCCAGGCTGAGCCCCCTCCTCTCCCTGTCCAGCCCTGCAGGTAAGAGCTCACCTGGCCGCGGACACCGAGACCCAGCGAGACGGTGACGTGGGGGGAGGGGCCACGGCCACCGGGGCCACCTCGGGGACGGTCCCTGGAGGGGGGAGGGAGGCTCTGGCACCCCCAGGCTGGAGCCCCTCACCTCTGCTCGGCTTCAGGAGGGTGGAATTGGGGGGCGGGGGGCCGGGCTGACCTCAGGCTTTGCCCCCCCAGAACGGCCAGCGCGGGCGCATGGACAGAGGGAACTCCCTGCCCAGCATGCTGGAGCAGAAGGTGAGGGGGCTGGGGGCTTGGCAGGGGTCGGGAGGGCTTTGATGGAGCCCGGGGAGGGTCTCACAGCCCCATGTCCCCCCCCCTGCAGATCTACCCCTATGAGATGCTGATGGTGACGAACCGAGGCCGCGTGAAGCTCCCGCCCGGCGTGGACAGGACCAGGCTGGAGGTGGGGGCTGTGCCAGGCTGGGGGGGTCCCGGGGGGTCCCTGCGCTGTGTCACCATGCTGTGTCCCCTCCCCGCAGCGCCACCTGTCCCCCGAGGATTTCCTGAAGGTGTTCGAGATGTCGCCGGAGGAGTTCGGCAAGCTGGCCCTGTGGAAGCGCAACGAGCTGAAGAAGAAAGCCTTCCTCTTCTGAGTCCTCCTCGGGCCAGCTCCGTCCCTGTCGCGCCGTGTCACCGCTTTAGGGCTCTCAGCCGGTTTTTACTGGGGTTCCCCCCCTCCCCCCG